TAGTCAATTTTCTTTGAAATTTTATCTCCATCAATTTTCTTCTTCTTTAAATTCAATCACAACTTTGTAATATTTTCCTCGGTTTCTAGTCCAATTATGGCTTATAATTTTTTATGGATTTAATGATTTATCCTCAAAGTTTCTGTTTGCAGTGATCAACTCCAAATTTAGCCCCAAAAATTGAACTTTAATTAAAATTAAACTTTAAAATTGTTTTTTGCTACAATGATCCTCTACGCACGGAATCACCCGGGTGCGAGTTGACTTAGTTGACTAACTGCTGCCCAACAGAACTTGTTCCGTTGCCATGGTGAAATGGCCTGGTCGGTAGGCCGCTATATTGATTCACCAGGAACAACAGCCGCAGCTGCTGAGCTGATGCTTGGAAATTTTCTTAGGTGCTTTCTATGCGGTGATGAATTTGGACAACCTCGGCATCTTCTGACATGCCTGCTTAATCACCTCTTGGAACGAGAAACAAAACAAACAGTTGACCTCAGTGCAAAAACCAAAGCTGTCTCATTAATGGCCTAGTTTCAGAATAAATTGAGAAATCAAATGAGACTCTCCAGAAAACCAAATCCCACCCTGATGTTAATATGATTGCCAACTGAACAGGGAAATGAACAAACAATGGTGATAATCATCTTGAATGTCAGAGAACACCTGATAATGAATACGCTGATGATGAAGTTCAAAATTATTGATTCGATTTCGTCCAATCTTCTATTTTTAATAAAAATGTATCGAGAATGAAAGAGGATTTCCGTCGAATGCTCATAATCAGAAAGTAGTCTGATTTCGAAATTTAGATTCATCAAGTCTGGAAAGTCTGACGCAAGTTCATCTGAATAGGGTACTTCGGAGAAGATCCGGAGCGGAAGTTGTGAAGAAATCAAGAACAAAGTGTGTGAAATGTGTAGACCTATAGGTCTAGTGCTGCCGCAGAGCTCGAGGGGCCGCGAAGTACGTTGCCCACCTCGCAGAGGGCAGCGGGTGGGTCCTGCTGCAGTCAGACCATGGATCGGAGCAGGTTGATCGGGCAGGCCGCCTGCAAGGACTGCACTGCAAAAAATCAGTGTCTGATACGTAGGATGCTACGGCGTTCCGTATACCCCCTGAAATGGTGATACGGACATCTTCCGTACCACTCCTCCCATAAGAGCCTGTGCTTTGTAAAGCGTCGTACGGAAATTTAACGGAAAATGTACCGCTAATTTTACACCTGAGGTTGCCGTTTCAGTTTTCCGTTGGTGAAAAAGTCCAAAATGCTCTACGGACAGTGAGGAACGGACGCACCGTAACGCTAAGATCTCTGACGAAACGCATGAAACGGTCACTCCGTAGGGATACGGACTGGCCGTTACACTTTATCCGTTACAGAAATTTGAGTTACGGAGCGTCCGTTCCTCACTGTCCGACTGTCCGTAGAGCATTTTGGACTTTTTCACAAACGGAAAACCGAAACGGCAACCTCCGGTGTAAAATAAGCGGTACATTTTCCGTTAAATTTCCGTACCACGCTTTACAAAGCACAGGCTCTTATGGGAGGAGTGGTACGGCAGATGTCCGTATCACCATTTGAGAGGCTATACGGAACGCCGAAGCATGCTCCGTGTCTGACACTGATTTTTTGCAGTGTGGCTCCTGGTATGTCTCGCTAGTGGCTGTTGTCCCGCACTTGCATTTCCGGCTTTCGTCCAATCCCAAGGACTGATGCAAAAAGAAATCCAGGAGCTCAAGGAGCGACCGGCTATCATAGAGGCCACCCTGGTGTATATCTAGAACGCGAAACGTGGGTTTTCCTTTGGCCCTGTGGTGTGTCGGCTCAAACGCACTGCACTTTCCGCTGTTTCATCGCGTCCCCAGCAGCGCCAAATGCGCAACGCGCATTAAAATGAAACACATTCTATCTGCAATCAGCAGTCAGTCCTGCGATGCGCACTTATGACCCATGCTCACCGTGGGAAAAGAATCACAGTAAATCATGGATTGGCACCTGCCTCCTGACTAAGAAAACAGGCTTACAAGGACAAGATACCTCATGAGGTTCTGCCGGGCGAAGACGAACTTTCGGAGATGTCTGTCTCCAGCCAAAGCCGCAACAATACGGCCCGCGAACCAATGTGATGCGCCCCCCACTCCACTGAGCGCCCCGCAGCTACAATGCTCCCGAGCGGACGGACAGATTGGCCTTCCTCAGAGGCACCCCGCCATCCCCCGCACTCTACCAAAAATTCCCTGTCCACGCCGTTAATTTATTACGAGTTTTCACTGTAGGTTAATTCACAGCGTTTACTGTGATCTGCTCACGCGATTCACTGTGATCTTGTTCGCGGTGTTCACTGTGATCTGGTTCACAGTAAACACTGTGAGTTTGACGCCGGTGAGCACCGAAGTGCTGCAAATCAGGCTCCAATTCACGGCGTTTACTGTGGCCAGATCACAGTGAACACTGTAACCGAGATCACAGCGAACGCCGCGAACCAGTTCACAGCAAACGCAGTGAATTGCATAACAGCAAACATTGGTAATAAATTAACGGCGTTGACAGGACATTTTTTGTAGAGTGGCGCCTCATCCTCGCTCACCGCGTGCACTGTGCGGGGTGTGTTCGTGTATTCCCCGTCTGTGTGCGTAAGCGCTTCTTTACTGACTGTCCACTGGCGTAACAGAGCGTGTACGGTCTGCAAGCTGTTCGTTCCACGACGCACGTGTGTGAGTGTGTTCGTGTTGGACGGCCCGCGTGCTTCCCCCTTGGCCCCTCAAGAAGCATTGTTGCATGGCCTGGCCTGGGTGAGCCTTCCGAGACGAGGCGCGCACACGGTGCTGCCGGCCGAGACCCCATTGTCGAAGCGAAGAGCTCTGTTGCGTAGCTCTGGATTGACGGGGCAGGGGCCCGATGGGCAGGGCGCGAGGGGGTAAACACCTCAAGAAATCGTGTACAGACTACTCGGTATTACGCTGTATTACGGAGGTATTACACGTGTTTTACGGCCTTAAAATGCAAAAATTTGGCACATTTGACCCGAAAAAGGTATTACGACCACGTGTATTACGCGTAATACACGGTTTTTGTGTACAGGGTATTACGCGAGTGGTTACCCCCTCGGCAGGGCGGGTGGCGGGACGCGCAGTACACCTTTCCGGGCTAAGCAACTTGTTCAGTATACTTGGATCTTTGCGCCGCCACACTTCAAGATCCAGCTCATTTGTGGCGAAACGGAATTGAAATCGGTGTCTACTGGAGTATCAACAACAACGAGTTTAATGCCATTTCGCTGCAAATTCATCTCGCTGTCTTACAATGTGGCGGCGCAAAGATTCGGTTATTGCACAAGAAGCTTAGCCCGGAAAGGTTAGTTGGTGCGCCAGCTCTCGCAGCTTCGAGACTCTGGATCGCCCACGACAGAGGTAAAAAACGACAAAAATGCTAATTCCCCTCCCCCCCCTTCCCCTGGTGCGATTTTTACTCTTTGCAGTGCAATTCTACATTTCTGAGTGTCTTAAAACAGCAAGTTCTCTCGGGGGAAAGATTGATCAGACTAAAAGAAGAAAGGCTTGTGATATGTCAGGTTTAATTAAATCCATAAAATAAAACAGAGTCAAAGCTTACAGAGACTTTTATTTAACAAATTTAAAACTATCCACAGGGAAATGAAAACAACAAGTTTGTGATATAGAAGTTGATTGAACAGAAGTATTTTCTAAATATCAAATTTTGAAATGAAACATTTAATAAAGTGAAGTCTACTACACACTCTCATTCCAAGTACGTGACATCACGCCACGTTCATTTCAACGTGATGTCACCTACTTGGAATGAGAGTGCAATTTACAGCAGAATGCTTCAAGGGAGGCAATTAAAGTTGTCACACTTGCCTGTTAACTCCTCTCAAACCCATTCACTAAATCAACGAAAGTAAAGAGGCCCATCGAAGGTGGCCACTGAAGATCAAACACATAAAAAAATTGTTGGCTGAGCGATAGCAAAGCCCGTTACTCCAGTGGGGTTGTAAAACATTTTCTGCGTGTGTGTGTGTGTGTGTGTGTGCCCGTGTGTGCACTACTCCTCCTGAACGGCTCGGCCAATCTGGCTGAGATTTTGCAGACTTCTTAGGTTTGTTCTTGGCTCGACACACGCGAAATTTCACTATCCCAGCTCACGTGGTTCAGTTTTTTTAAGCCAAAAACACCTAAAAACCGCCAAAGAGCGAGTTTTCTGCAGGCAGATCAATTCTCTCTTGAAGAAGGGGGGTCTTCGACAAGTTAGAAAGTAACAAGGGTCAAGATCGTGTTATCTGTAGATGAAGCAACTCTATCTAGAATGAAGGGGGGGTCTGGCGTAAACCTACCTTGTTGTACTTAATGTCTATTTACAGGATCAGCACGCACTACAAATCTAACTGTCTACTTAGCACGCACTTACAAATGCATGCTTGCAAGTACACACTTACAAACGCATACTTGGCCAAGCATGCACTTACAAATGCATGCTTGGAAAGTACACACTTACAAACGCATGCTTGGCGCCGTATAACTCCATGCTAAGCATAGGCGTTTGTAAGTGTGTACTTGCAAGCATGAATTTTGAGTGCGTGCTAGTAGACAGTTAGGTTTGCAGTGCGTGCCAGGAAGAATGCCAGAAAGGTTAATGAAGGAGTATGCTGATGCTGACAATACCACTGATTATGATAAGCCACGAAAAAGAAGAGCACCCAAAAAAATTAAGAGATAGTTCTGATGAGGAAGTACCATCTTGTTCGAAGAAAAGAGGCAGTAAACTAATTGGTTGATATGACCGTTGACAGGAAGCTTCTAGAAGGATCAACAATAACAAACAGCAATCTGCCGAATGACATACCAAAGACAATACGATGTAAGATAGTGTGCCATTAACAAGTTTAAACTAGACAGCCGGAAACCGGCAACACGCGGGCAAACATAAACAAATCGGCAATCTGTATTGTCTTTTGGAACATGTTTTTTGCTTTTTTTTATTTTTTATGTTCGCGTCGCTCGTTTGCTCGCGGTATTTGTTTTTTGCCGAAATTTGTAAAATATTTTAAAATTTTGTTAAATTGTACTAGTTTGTGTGTCTGCCCTTTTTCCCTTTGTGTTATTGAACTGTTTAGTTTGAACATGCAAAGAAGAAAGGCTTCTTTGATTTTGTGATCTGTGCGTATTTCGAGTAGTTTGATTCTACAGAAGGCAAAAAACGCCGTGGTAGGTGCACAAAACAATATCCCTCTTCAATTGATTTGTCTTCTAATTGGAGACGTACTGTCCGCCCATTAACCGTCTCCAGTATTTCAATCTTTAGTACTCTATGCATCTTCTTGATGGGCAAATCTTTTATGCTTTTGAACTCAGAAGTTTGATTTGCCACCTGGTTTAGCTGATTAACGTCTTCGTCACTTGAGTTTTCCTGTGACGGAAATGAGCAGTAGGAATGGTGGTGCGTTGCAACCCTAGAAGTTTTCTTAAAACACTTCTGCTTTCTCATCATCATCGTCTCCTCCTTCTCGCTTGGGTTTCTCTTTAGTCTCATCTGGTTTCTTTTTCTTGTGGCTTCTTTTTTTATCCTGTTAAATTTAGAACATTAGTTTTTGTGCCATCTGTATTCAGTACTATTAAAAATTATAGTTTGAAATACCTGTTTCTTTGTGTTTTCTGTCTTTTTCTTTCTCTTTTTGTTTTGGTCGTTTGGTTGTTCATCATCCTGAAATGAAATAAATGTTTTTAGTTGGAAGGTTGTAGCTTAGTTATACAGTAAGGGAGTATGGCAGGGCATAATGTAACGGGCAGTTGTGGCTTGTTTGGGCAGTTCTTAATCTCACTTTGGCAGTTGTTAACGAAAAAATGGGCAGTTGTCTCGAGGTCAAATTTGGTGAAGTTAGGGTAAGGAAATGTGGCAAAACACATAACCTAACCTAACCAGATCACCGTGATAATTTCGAGAATTCAAACATCCAAGAGATGGTTTAGGAACTATAAGGCTTACCACATCTCCCCGCCGCACAGCCCCAAATTGCAGCCGTGATTGCCCCATTGCCCCCCCCCCCCCTCCGGTCGCCCGGATTTGGGCAGTTGTAAAAATTTCTTACATTATGCCCTGGAGTATGGGGCGATTTGTAACAGATTTCGGAATTCTCTATACAAAATTAAGAATGTTCATTCTGCATATCGGTGTCAAACTTGTGCCAGTTGAGCAGTCTGGCCTTCATCTAGACTGTGCAGCTCCATTGGATCAATCTGGAGTCCGTAATCTTTGAAATCTAAGACGTTTTCCAAACTCTTGCATGCTGTTACGAATCGCCCCAGCCTGGGGTGATTTGAAACAGCCATGGGGCTTTTCATAACATCCTACACATTAAATGAAACATCGTCAGGAATGTTATCTCCTCCACCAGTTGTTCTTCGGGTGTCCTGCAGACGTCTAAAAATCTATATTACTAGCTGCCGTTGACCGCCTCAGCATTAACTGATAGGCTATGTCAATCCTTCAATCCTATCCTATCCTATCCTAATCCTATAATCCTATAACCTCACTATAAAGCCCCAATCCGACTGACTCACTCACTGACTCACTCATAGAAATGTTTGGGGTCAAGGAGTGGTCGTAGAGACTTGCGGTTTTTTCCATTCGATTCCAAATTTTATGGAAATATTGGGAAAAATGTTTCTAGGCCGACTCACCCAGGTGCGACTGACCCAAAGCATTTTCACCCATACGCTATTCGCCCTCAAGTGTTTCACCCAGGTGTAATGGACCCACGTGTCATAGACCCAGAAAGCTGTTCACCCAGAATATTTATTTATTTCTCGATATGTCTTATGAACAAAGACCGATGTCTTTTGGGTCGCTCGATCAAAGACCTATCTCCTTCAGGTCGCTCGAACAAAGACCGATCTCCATTTCGGCCGTTTCTGCATTCGCCGCTTCTTTATCTTGTGGTTCTCGCAACCGACATCCATTTCAAACAATAGTTTGCAGGTTTTGTTTCAAACATATAAGAGAATGATTATCTCACGACAAATAATTCGTCAGGCGTACAAACATTCATTTTTATGATATTAATACCTCCTGAAGATATCGTTCGTTGTCAGAACGAAATGTTTGTTCTGACCACAAAAAGATAGTGCGCCTAACAACTTTTTTAGCTATCTCAAGCATTTTTGTTGTCCCAACAAATTCTTTTTACGTGTCGCTCGCTGCTTGCACTGCATTGCCGAAAAAAGTGAGAAGTAATTTCGCGGGCAAGACGGTCCTTGATTGTTGTCTTGAGGATCCTCAAGACAAGACATATTTCGAAATACCCCCAGCACCGCGATCCCCCAGCACCGCGATCACCGATCGCGGTGGCTTTTGAGAATACCCCTCTCTTTATTTAAGCAGTACTTCTCGCTCTCACATTGGGCTTGGGCGAATGATTTTGGCGTGGGTGAGATCGAGAAAGGGTAAATGGACCCCGGGTGAATTTTAGAGGGTGGATTGGCCGTGGGTGTATTGACTTCGGGTCAGTTGGGTTTTGGGTGAATAACGTGTGGGTGAGTGGGCCGGACCCCGGGAAAAATCCCAAAAGTTGAAAATTCCTCACCGTTTCCGAGCGAACCTACTCAATCTTCAAAAAAGGGGACCGACCGACTAAAAATTTTTATTTACCTCATCGGTACGTCTGGTCGAGACATTTCCGAAACTGTGCCGCAGTCGGGTCCCCGCCACCGGCAATTGGGTAAATCATCATCATCAAGAATCTATATAGCCCCAATCCGACTGACTGACTCACTCACTTACTCACTCATAGAAATGTTTGGGGTCAAGGAGTGGTCGTAGAGACCTGCGTTTTTTTCCATTCACCTCTATCCTTGTCAAAGCGGTCTTCAATATATTCCGGACCATGTATGCTCCCATTGACTGCCACAGTAGCCAATGCAATACAAGCTATCTACTTGGGCAGTAAAAGTAGCTTAATTATATGGTCAAAAGCTGATAAATAGACCTTTCGAAGAAGCAGTACATTTACTTCATTAGAAAGTTTGTCTTTGGTCACCACGGACTTACTGAAAATACTTCGGCACGCGCCCCACACATGCGGGGGTCTGGGGGCGGAGCCCCCAGCGAGCAGCGCGAGTACCTGGATTATGTTTGGACTGTGTCAGCAAGATGTCGACCAAATATTCGGATATTTTGTGGACGTTTTGCCAGTCTCTGGCCGGCCGACGTCGTTTTAAACGACTTTAAAAAGATGCCCAGAAGGCAAAGACAAAATATCGGCATATAGCTGCCGCATCGCTGGCCGCAGCAGCAAAAGAGAGACCACTGGCGTCGATCCACAAACCTGCCGCTTGCGAGACAAGAGCGGATCTGCTGGGCGCTGGGCCAGAGCGTCATCGCTGAAAAAGAATGCAGCTGAGCGGTCCGTCTACGTATCCACGACCGTGTGGACTCAGCCGGTCCCTGCCCCAGGTCAAGCCTATGATGTCACGATCCAGCGAACTCTGTTGATCACGCGCGGCAATAACAGCTAGTCTAGAGCGTGGACCTGCTGCGACCTGCTGTGAACGAATGGGAGCAAAGAGGCTGACACAGTCCAAACATAATCCAGGTATTTTTCAAACGCCTGCTCGTTACTTTGATAACAAAATATTGAGCAGCCGTATAAAAGCCGTACATTTCTACCCGGGAAGCTTCTCCCACCACAGCGCACCGCCTGCACTTCGCCGGGTAGCACTAGTGGCCAAACCATACGTCGCACGTGGCTAAGAGTGAACATTTGCTCTCATTTTCACTACAATAAAATCCATTTTCCAACTTTAAACGGCTCTGGAGCCTAAACCAAAAATCGTAGACTGTTTCCGTGACCACCATTTGAAATAGCAACCTTTTTTCTATCAAAATACATGGGTTTAGATTTACTGTGACGCAAGGCAAAAGTTTGGCAGGCCTCTAAAACAATAAAAGCGGAGAAAAAAACACTCTTTTGAGCGTAAAATGGACCCAGCTCCGTTACCATTCGCTCAAAACGCATCCCGTAGGGTTTTTTTGGTCGGCCTGGATCCCGGGAAAAAATAGTCGCCGGGGGCAACAAGCTAGGACCAACACCGGATGCGCAGGGCTTCAAATAATCCAAATTTGTATTTTGTTTCAAATTACGTCAAATTTACAACTTTCAGCCATTGTAGCGACCCCTGAACCACGTGAGCTAGAATAGTGAAATTTTGCGTGTGCCGAGCCTAGAACACACCTCATAAGCCTGCAAAATCTCAGTTAGATCGGCCGAGCCGTTCAGGAGGAGTAGTGTACACACACACACACACACACACACACAGGTAGACAGAAAAAGCTTTTCAACCGCACTAGAGTAACAGGCTTCACTGTGGCAAAAAGGTACGGAAAATTCTGTTAATTTTTTGCCAGGATTCTCCGTAGGGCCGTACAGTATTCTCTGTAAGTCCACACAGTCTTCTCCGTAGGACCTGGAAGACTGTATAGTCCTACAGAGATCACTGCAAGGTCCTACGGAGAATACTGTGCGGTAATACGGAAAATGCTGTAAGAGCCTACAGAGAATATTGATAAGGGGGCTACGAAGGATTACCACAAGCTACAAGCTGTTACCAGAATTTTCCGTAGCCTTTTGCCAGTGTTCGCTATCGCTCAGCCAATTACAGAACAGTCACTTTTACTCTGAATCTTGCCTTGAAATTTTCCTCATCCAAACCTTCAACACATTCTCATGCATGAGAGGACACCCATCTATAACATTCTCCTCTCTGATCTCTGAGAAATACATAAAAAGTAAATATAGTGGCCATGTTAAAGTAGTACATCAGTTACAAAAAAGAATTAAAAAGTTCCCCTTTTGATCCATATCGATGGAAAATCATGGGCTAAAGTCAGTGTTATCAAACAAAAATTGCTCCTTCCTGAACTCGTTTCTGAAAAAAAAATGCATTTAAAAGTTGGTATTTTTTAACATTTCCCTTTTGGGGAAGGGGTCCGAAAAACATAAAAGGTGGGTTTTACGCCAGCCCGCGTCTTGTCGTAACAGGCTTCGCGATGTCTCGCGGCCTGTTCCTTCAATCCGCGCCTGGCGTACCTACCTTGGCCTGCGGCGCTAGCCTGCGGCAATGCTTGCCCATCATCAGTTACTTCTGATTTGTTGCATGCCCCTTCTCTCATTATAGAGTTGCTTCATCTACAAATTACACGACCTTGACCCTTGTAACTTTTTAACTTGTCAGGTTGGGGGGCTCCGCCCCCCAGAGTCCCCTTTCATCGAGACAGGAGAGATCTGCCTGCAGAAAACTCGATTTTTCGCCATTTTTTAGGTGTCTTTCGGCTATAAAAACTGAACCAGTTGAGCTAGGAAAGTGAAATTTTGCGTGTACTGAGCTAGGAACATACCTAATGCGCCTGCAAAATTTCAGCCGCATCGGCCGAGCCGTTCAGAAGGAGTAGTGTACACACACAGACAGACAGACAGACGGACAGACAGTCAGATAAAGTTTTTCAACCCCACTGGAGTAACAGGCTTCGCTATCACTCAGCCAACAATGTTTACTTTTAGCACATAAGGAGCAATTAGGCAAGAAAACCTTCAGTTAGATAAAACACAATGCACAGCTGTGATGCACAGAATTACAAGGTAGGTTTACGCCAGACCGCGTCTTGTCGTAACAGGCTTCGCGATGTCTCACTGCCTGTTGCTCCAATCCGCGCCTGGCGAACCTACCTTGGCCTGCGGGGCTAGCCTGCCTTCGGCAGGCATTGGCTTGTCCGTCGGCGGTTACTTGTTGCATGCCCCGAGACCCCCCTTCATTCTAGATAGAGTTGCTTTATCTATAGATAACACGATCTTGACCCTGGTAACTTATTAACTCGTAGAGGCTGGGGAGCTCCGCCCCCCAGACCCCCCTACCTTCACGAGAGAAGTGATCAGCCTGCAAAAAACTCGATTTTTCGCCGTTTTTAAGTGTTGTTCGGCTCTAAAACCTGAACCAGTTGAGCAAGGATAGTGAAGTTTC